CGCTGAGCAGGGAGCCTGAACTAGGACTTGATCCAGGGACTCCAGGATCATGACCTGAGCCGAAGGCAGTCGCTTAACCAACTGAGCCACCCAGGCGCCCTCAAACTCTATTTTTATATGTTCATTTGTCTTGACTCTGAAATGGAAATGTTCTTCAAAGAAAAAGTCAACTTTCCATGGCATGTCTTCCATCAGATATAAAACAAAATCATGAAAGAAATTTAGAGTTAAAGATAATATATGAGGGGAACCTGGGTGGCTCAATCCGTTAAGCATCTGCCTTCGGCTCAGGTCATGATCCCAGGGTCCTAGGATCGAGCCCTGCATCGGGCTCCCTGTTCGGCTGGGAGCCTGCTTTTCCCTCTCCCTCTGCTGCTCCCCCTACTTGTGCTCTCTCACTCTCTCTCTGTCAAAAAAAAAAAAATCTTAAAAAAAAAAAAGATAATACATGAAAGAAGAAATAAATAAATGAACCAAGCTTCTCTTACTATATTTATAAAATTACTCAATATTTTGAATTTTCTTTTGCATTTCATGCTAATATCTTCTAAACATCTACGTTTATTGCTTTGTTCATAGATTTTTTTAAAAAACTAAGATAGTGATTAGCATAGTATATTATAAGGAACATGAGTTCCAGAATGAGAAGTCCTAGTTTTAAATCTGCTTCTTGCTAATTGTGTGAACAGTTGAAAGATTTTTAATCACGTTTTTACTCATTTGTAAAATAAGAAAACAGTGCATTATAAGCATATCGTGATGATTTAATGACATGTCCTTTAGAAAAAGCAAAAATTGTTTTATATTAATATAAAATAGAAAAGTTTTCCACATGTGCACCACATGTTCATAGTAAAACTGTAATAGTTTACAGAAATTAGAAGCAACCTCAGTGTTCATGGATAAATAAATTACACTCTAATCATATAATGGAAATACCCCATAATAGTAAAAATGTTTGAATTATTTCTATTTATATATCTGTTTATGTGAATCTCAAAAACAAAGTGTTCCATGGAGAAGAAATTACAGAGTACATACAGTTGATAGCATTTATAAAAAAAGTTAAAAACCCATAAAATTCTATATATCATTTAGAGATATAAATATATACTGTAAAATTATAAATTAATACATTGGAATACTGAAGAGCAAGTCTAAGGTAATGGTTACTCTAAGGAGCAGAAAAGGAAACACAATTGAGGTGGGTTCACAGAGACAACTGTGCAGGTGAGATTTTTATTTCTTAAAAATGGTTAGAAGGTACTCAACCTAATATATTACAATAAATAATAACAATAGAGAGTTTACCCTAAGGCTTGACTTAAAAAATGCTCCTTCACTCCTATCTCTTTTCCTCCTTGTTACCTAAACCTCATAATAATCAAATTTAATAACTGTGTAATCTGTGCTTTAATATACTATACTGACCATTTTTTATTATTGGATAATATGGTTAAATGATCCTTTCAAAATTCACAGTAAAATAGAATTACTCAGTCAAAGGGAATATACATTTTAATTATTTTTGGTGCTCATTCGCTTAATCACTTTCAAAAGTGTTTTGCAAATTTTTATTCCCAAAATGAACTTATGATAACAGTGTTACTTTGCCTTTTCCAGGTACTGGAAAATATCATACTTCAAATGTTTCTTAAAAACTATTAATAATAGCAGTATTTTTAAAATTTGCTAGTGAAACTAAATATTCTTGTTTTTTATTTTTAATCATACATGCTCTTTTGTGAGTTGTCCATATTTGTCTTTTGGGAAGTAGTAATTAAAATATTTTTTGCAATGATTAAAGATCATTACAGAGTACACAGCCCAGAGACTATGGAGTGTCTTCTTTTGGAAGAAATACACTGAATAAGGGGCACCTGGGTGGCTCAGTGGGTTAAGCGTCTGCCTTCAGCTCAGGTCATGATCCCAGGGTCCTGGGATGGAGTCCCGCATCAGGTTCCCTGCTCAGCGGGGAGTCTGCTTCTCCCTCTGCCCCTCCCCCTGCTTGTGCTTTCTCTCTTTCTCTCTCAAATAAGTAAATAAATAAATAAATAAATAAAATCTTTAAAAAAAATACACTGAATTAGGAGAAATGATACTTCAACTTAATTCATTCTGAAGGGAAAGACTTACTTTTATGAATAGTAAAGAGACAGTATTTGATTAGCGAACTTCTTGCTTTCTACATTTGGATTTCTTCCCATCACGACATAGATTTCTGGGTTTTCTTGTTCTGGTTTTTTTTTTTTTGTTTTTTGGGGGAGTTTTTTGGTTTTCTTTTGTTTTTTTTACCAGTAGCTGGTTTCAGAGTTCAGTATTGGACCTGTAACATTTATGAGGCATTGTTGAGTTGTGGAAAAGACATCACATATTTGCTCTGTGATCCTAACCTCTCAGAGCTTCAGTGTTTTTGATCTGTGATACGGAGTTATAAAAATAAAATATTATATAATAATGTGTAATACTTATTCCCATTATTTCTGCAGTGATACATACCTATATATCTAGTGTGGTTTCTGGCATAGTATAAGTATCTGAGAAGTTGCTGCTGCTGCCATTATTAGAAAGGAAGGGTGTACAAATGTAAGGGTCCTGAAATCCTCCAGCCATAGGCTTATTTGTGGTTGTCTAAACTTCTACCATTAGAAGTTCCTCTTTTGGTCACAGGGGGACATCTCTGAGACAGGGCAGTTCATTAAAGATGGTATTTCTACAGGTGTGCCTCTCAGAACACAGACTCTTTGGAATGTTAGTGTTATGTCATGGAGAAGTGGGGGATGGAGGGCCAGGGGAAGGCATTCTTGATCATGTACAGTGCGGGAAATACTGTGCCAAATAGATGTAAACAGGTTTATTCTCTGAAGCACTTCCTGAAGTCTTGGCTATGATAAGATGAATTTACCAGGGTCTGTTTGTTTGCTTGTTTTTTTAAAAACATCTCCTACTCCTTATTATCTGGACACATGCCTTGGAACCCGCAGCTTTAAGACATCCATCATTTTATACCCTTGTTTCGGGTTCCCTTCTAGTAAATGGCTTGAGGGGAGCAATGAGCATATATCAGCAAAGCTACTGGGGACTGGGTGATTTTTAACAAGGCTACCGGGGACACTGGCTCATGACTCTGTGTTTTTTATACAGTTCATCCCCAGACCTCCGATTCAGTATGGCTCTGTGTGATCAGGAGAAAACTTTCAGACAACAGAGAAAAGAAAACATAAAGGAAAACATGAAGAAACTCCTGGGTCCAGAGAATAGTGAAGGCTTGTATTCTACACGTGATGTGAGTTGGAAATGTTTCGAATGTTATTGTAATTTAATAGTCATGTTGTTAGTACTCTCTCCCAAATTGCACCCAAATGTGGAAATACTGAAATTGATTGAGCATTATATCTTCAGCTTTTTAAGATAAGGTAAGTGTTTTGTAAATACAAATTCTTTGAGGAAGATCATCACAGATGCTGCCCATATTTAGTAATATTGATCAGATAGAGTTTTAAAAAGATGCATAGGCATACTTGTGCACAAACGAGATGTTTATTAGTAAGAAAAGTTTAGCCTCAGATGTAAAAGGATCATTGAAATTTATTTGTATTGTTTTTTAATTGAAGTATAGTTGACATACAATGTTACATTAGTTTCAGGTGTACAGTATAGTGATCCAACAAGTCCACTGGTTACGCTGTGTTCACAAGTGTAGCTACTATGTGTTACCATACATTATTACAATATCACTGATGCTGTTCCTCGTGCTGTACCATTCATTTCCGTGATCTATTCATTCCATAACTAGAAACCTATACCTCCCACCCCCTTCACCCCTTTTGTCCTTCCCTCCAACCCCCTCCCCATGGGATCGTTGAATTAACTTTATTTTTTTTTAAGATTTTATTTATTTGAGAGAGAAAGAGCAAGCACGAGCAAGGGGAGGAACAGGCAGAGGGAGAAGCAGACTCCCTGCTGAGCAGGGAGCCTGATGCGGGGCTCCATCCCAGGACCCTGGAATCATGACCTGAGCTGAAGGCAGACGCTTAACTGACTGAGCCACCCAGGCCTCCCTGTAACTATTCTTTGGGTGTTCATTTCCTTATGAAGATTCCTATGTCACATAAAACTTACCTTAAATAAATCCGTATGCTTTTCTCCTGTTAATCTCTCTTGTCAGTTTAATTTTCAGACCCAGCCAGGGACCTTAAGAGGGTCAAGGAAAACCTTTCCCTCCCCTACAATGGCAGGTCCTCCTGTAATTGAAGACTGTTAGTTGGTCAGGCCTAGAGGAAGGAAAGAGTTTGCTAGGGGAGAAAAAAAAAAAAAAAAGCAGGAAATGGCTACCTCTGTTAATTTCTGGCCATCAATTTCATTTGCAAAACCCTGTCTTGCACTCTGTGTTTCCCTGCCTCGCTGCTTTCCAGTTATTTGCAATAATTATTTCTTTCACTCCCAGCTGCTGATCTACCCTCTGTTCCCCTCACAACTGATAGACTTGCCTCCTAATGAAAGAGAGGTCAGTAGGCATCAGATGACAGAACGTTCCTTTCTTGCCAGAGGATTAACATATTCCATAAATTATGCTATTCTTTGCTGCTTCCCTCTTGAATTCCATGGAGGAAACAGCTCCTCTTTCAAATGCAGATCAACTGCAGATATGATTGCCAGCCCCAAACAGGAGCCCTATCAATTGTCTCAATTGTCCAGTCCTCCCAGGACCACTCCCCTCCCCCAACTTGTCTGCCTCTACCTCTTTATGAATTTTTACTGTAAAAATACCAACTCCGACACAAAGGGGAGAAAGGGAACAACCACAAAGTCTGCCTGGAATGTACCTTCCCTTCTCCTGTCTCTCCATTTCTCTCCTTATGTTCACAGACTTCTCCAAGTTCCTACACCATCTCGTCCTCTTTCCTCACTTTCTCAGGCTTCTGACCTCATGATTCTGCTGTGGTTGCTCTACCAGTCGCCCGTACTAATAAATGCAAAAGATCTGGCCCTGTCTCCCTCAACCCAGTCGGTGCAAATGACACTCGTCTCCCTACTTTGTGAAACATTCTCTACCCTTCATCTCCTGCCTCCTCTTTGTTTTCATCTTGCCTCTTTGGTGCCCTGTAGAGGATCTTCCCCCCGTGCATTCTTTAAATATAAGAGATCTTCACCCTAGGCTCTCTTTCTCCTCATTCTGCGTTCTTAAGAATTTTCTCTCCAGGGACGCCTGGGTGGCTCAGTTGGTTAAGCGTCTGCCTTCGGCTCAGATCATGATCCCAGGGTCCTGGGATCGAGCCCCGCATTGGGCTCCCTGCTCCGCGGGAAGCTTGCTTCTCCCTCTCCCACTCCCCCTGCTTGTGTTCCCTCTCTCGCTGTGTCTCTCTCTGTCAAATAAATAAATAAAATCTTAAAAAAAAAAAAAAAAGAATTTTCTTTCCAGGGGCACCTGGGTGGCTCAGCTAGTTAAGCGGCTGCCTTCGGCTCAGGTTGTGATCCCGGAGTCCTGGGATCGAGTTCCGCATCGGGCTCCTTGCTCAGCGGGGAGCCTGCTTCTCCCTCTCCCTCTACTGCTCCCCCTGCTTGTGCTCTCTCTCTGTCAAATAAATAAATAAAATCTTTTTTTAAAAAAAGAATTTTCTCTCCCTTGCATGATGTCACCCAGCACCTGTGTCCGAAGAACTTCCCATGTAGATCAAGGACTTAAAACCTCCCTTCTGAGCTTCAGAGCTGAACATCTATGCACCTGCTTGATTTCTTCACTGGTATCCCTCCCATCTCAAACTCAGCACGTCTAAAGGGGAACACAACACCTGTCTTTTCTGCAGTTCCACCCAAGCCTGTTCTCCCTCTCCCTACCTTCTTGTTCGCTTTCAAACCAGAGCTGAAAATCCTTCCACTGCTCTCAGGATTGGCCTCCCAGCATCTCTCCAACTCCCATTTTTTCCAGTTCACACCACACTCCTTCATTGGGTTAACTCCACATCTCCTCAGAACCCTTCCCCAGCTGGTGCCTTTCCAGACACTGTTCCTTCTCCCTGTAATGTGCTTTCCCTGTACCTGCCCTCTCCCCACCCCACCTGCTTTTCAGGTAACTGGCACCTTCCCTCCCGTTTTTTAAGCAGTACATATGTAGCTTCTTCTGGGACTGTCCCAGTCACCAGCAGCCTCCATCCTTCCCCCCATGTCCATTAGGTCTCGGTTATATTCTCAGTGGCACAAATACGCACCTTATCTTCTCAGCATTGATGACACTCGGACTTAAAACATATATGTACAGATACTCATTTCATGTCTGTTTTCTCCAGTGGAATATAAGCTTCATGAAGATCAGGACAGTGTCTGTGTTATTTACCTTCATATTCCCAGCACCTGGCATGGCTCCTAGCACATGGTAGACACTCAGTAAATCTTGTGTTGTGTGAGTCAGGGCACAGATTTGGGCAGGGCTTGGTGCTGCATCCAGGGGATGAATTAACTAGGGAGAGGGATCAGGGACTCAGAACTGAAGAACACAGTATCGGGTTGTTATGGAGGAGGCACAGGTTGAGGAGAGGGTTTGGATGAAAAGATCCCAGTTTGAACTGTTCCATTTAGAAATGTATGTGGCACATACTGGTGCAAATGTCCCGTTAGCCTTTGTCCTCAGGTTTTCCTTTTGCAAAGGGAAAGTTGCTGCTGCAACCGCCCTATGGATTCCTTGTTTTGTGGGAAAAGGAGTCTTCCTGGGAAAATGAAACTTGGCCTAATATTCATACAAATTGGCTTTTCTGCAACAGATGGAGAATGAAGTAATTATGTTTCTCTCTGGAATATTCTTCAAAAAATGTTAAACTCATGTTTTTGGAAGTCATTCTTGGAATTAAAGCTGTTACTGTAGTTGTTTTTGGTTGGCCTAGAGTTTTTTTCTCTTGTCCAAAATAATTAGTTTAGATATATTCAGAACCACCCAGTCCCACAACACACATGATAGTTTCCTGTTTTTATGTTACTCCGTGGTCAGGGGTCTCTTAAGCTCCCAATTCCCTTGCTCTCTGATGAGCCTTCACCTTCTAGTCAGTTCTGGCTAATCATCGTCCTTACAGTATGTGGAACAGGCTGTCATGGCGGCTCAACAAAGAAAGAACAGTCCTACTTAATTCTCGGTGCAGGGACTGTGCTTGTCTTGTTCCCAGTGTTCAACAAACAGACAGCATCCAGCTTAGGACTTCAGTGTCAAATTAAAATGTTGAATACATTTGGGCACTATAAACTAGGACACATTCCTTCCCTTCTGTGCTTCACTTGTAAAATGGAGACTATGTCTCTTATTAGGTGAAAGGATAAGTACTACTGCTTATAAGCTTCCAGCACAATCTGTAAGGGCACATAGTAGTTGCTCAATAAAATAGTAACTATACTACTTGAGTGTTGCTGTTCTGCTGCATAACACCCGAGGGCAATCATTGTTAAATTCAATAAAATCTTAGCTTTTCTGTCTATAAGACATATTATGATGAATTAGTCAAATAATTAAGGTGCCTCATAACCCTCTTAAGTACTAAGACTTTTAAAAATATGTATTCTTGGGACACCTGTGTGGATCAGTCAGTTAAGCATCAGCCTTCAGCTCAGGTCATGATCCCAGGGTCCTGGGATCGAGTCCCGCATTGGGCTCCTCGCTCAGCAGGAAGCCTGCTTCTCCCTCTGCCTCTGCCCCTTCCCCACCCGCTTGTGCTTTCTCTTTCCCTCTCTCTCTCAAATAAATAAAATCTTAAAAAAAAAAAAATGTGTTCTCAATAAAAAAAGTTTTAAAAATTTATCGATTTGAATCATTTGGAGGGAAGTCTTTCTAAAATATGTCACTCCTTGCCCAGATTGAACTGATCTGAATGTTCTCATGTCTGTTTCATTTGCAATCAACTGCCATTTCTCCATGCTTTATGTGTTTCCTTGAAGTAATTTCTTCAAACCACTCCTTTCTCTTTCAGCTTTATTGTTGTGGAATTCAAATCTGATAAGCAAGCTTGTTGTTAAAACAGTGTCTCTGATTAGTGTAATTTCTCTATGAATAGAGGCCTGGAATCTTTCCTGTGAGTAAGATCTGTAAGACTGAGTACATGGGGATTTTTGGCATAGTTGGATTGTTTAGAGGCCATTCTTATAAATTTTCTTGTCTGAAAATAGCTTTTGGTCAGATGAAGTTTCCAGATTAGAGTCTTATGTGAAGGGAAATGCTACTCTATAGTTTTTGTTCCCTAGTAACTGACCATAACAAAGCCAAGCTGGTTGGGGGACTAAAATCTAAGAATTGGAATAGTGGGGAAG